TTATCTTACTGTGTTTGTAGATAGGGCAAAAGGATTAAGCGTTTTGAACGATGAAACTATCGTATAAAACCACGCGTGCTTGACCTATTACAACTTTTGTTTACTGGAAGGCTTGCTCTCCAGTTTTGTGTTGCTAAGTGGTATCCAAGCACGTGACCACTAGCTGCAAAGGGCCTATTGTAGTGATGAGAAACATTTGTAGATTAAAGATTTAGATTTAATTAAAATATGACGTGAAAAACTGTTAAGACGATGAATAAAAATATAAAATCAGTAACAAATAAAAATGGCTTATTTTTTCTGAATCGAATTCGGAAAAAAATTGCCTTGCTTCGTTTTGACTTTTATTTTAATTTTACAAATTACATAACACTTTATTGAAAAGACTTAATTCAAAGGTGATAAAACAAGCACTTCTATAAGCTAGTTTATCTTTCATCTTAAGAAATTTTTATATAATTGTTTTTCTTTATTATTGCCAAGTAAGGAATATATTTTCATCTCAGCTTGAATTTTTGCCAAAGTAGCTATGACAATTTAAAAAGTATACAAATATAAACAATTTAGAGGAAGTTAAAACAACTTTTACTAATTGAAAACAATTGGTTTCCATAGAAATTCTGTAGTATTAAACTTAAGACGAAAATTAAGTAGTCTTAACATTATAGAATTTCAGGAAACTACGGATTGAACTCAAAGAACTTCTGGAGCGGAACGAGCTCGTTCTTTTAAAAAAATGCTTGAGAAATTTTGCTGTCAGACGTGATTTTTAGAGAACTATGATAAATGAATTAAGTTTATCTTGCAATAAACAAGCAAATATTTGTTAATAATGCTACAGAAGGCAAACAAAGTGTCCAAGTAAGCGAGTGTCAACATTCTAAGGTGAAACAAAGCAGTCCAAGCTTTAATTCTTAACTTCTAGATACTTCTTCTTGTTATGACGTTGCTATATCGCGGAGGTTCACTAAGTAATCGACGRTAATTATCATCTAAAATATTACAGACTTCATTTATAATTCAAATCTTACCTGCTGTCCTGATGGCAAATTTTCTTTCACAATATGGGCAGTGAACTGCTCCATCGGTCCCAAGTACGCCAATCTTCCCATCTCTGTCATTATCGGACCCTTGTTTACCTACAAAAATATTTAAAGGACGAAAAGTTCAGCTCCGAAATTAATGAATTAAGAATAAACTAGAAGAAGAGCAATAAAACGCTAAAAAACTCAGTTAGTTACCTTTTTTTCTGCAGCAAAAATACCATATTACAAAAGATATAGCCACTATTAAGATAAGTGAAGCCAATAAAGCAAAAACAGCTACGAGAATTTGAGCTTCACAACTTAAACTTTGCGCTTCTACTATAGACACAAAATACACGAGAAATATAAACACGATCAATTCCTTCTTCGAATTTCCAATTGCAGGCATTTTGGACAGTATTTTCAAGTCATCTCAGTTTAGCGTCGTTTTTTTGTGTTTTCCACGGCGTACGCTAACGTAGGCAATTGTCAGAGAACCTTAAAGAAATACCGAAGTTCACTCCACGAAATGACTTGTATTTACATGTCAATTAATGAGCCTATAACTCCTGGTTTGATTGGTTAGAATCAGTCGACCGTACGACAGTATTGATATTGGGTATTTCGTCAAGTATTAGAAGTATTTGACAAGACTCAAATGCGTGGAATAGTTGAGAAAAATAAAAGACGATTTGTCAGGAATTTTTCTTATCGAAGTGGTATCTCGACTGCGACCTTTGCAAATGATTTTACAGTGTGCCTGCAGGATTATATTGATAACCCCGAAAAAATGAAGTTCATATTTGCATAAGGAAAGGTGGACGTGATTCGTAGCATCATTATAGACAATATTTTATACAATTGACGTTTTACAAAAGATATAAGGCATCTTGCAGACATCTTCTCCACAAGATGTCGTTAATTTTACACGGTGATAGATAWAAAAAAATGAAGTATTTTTTGCTCAGAATAAATGAGTTTCAAGTTCACATAATTGAGTACAATACGAGCGTAGCATTGCTTTCAACTTTTGTTCCTGTGAAATATTCTGTGCATTCAAAAAGCTTAAACAATGAATTGTTTATTTGACTGTAGAGTTGAATGGAGTAATCCTTTGATCAAAAGCTATAAGAAAACAAAAAGATTCTCTTGAAAAATCTCATTAAGATTTACATATTTATTCTTCTGTTTCGACCAATCAGAAGAGCCACCGACCTTCTACTCGCATAGTCTGAGACTAAAAAATTGGCGATTATTAAAGTCGCTCTTGTGCAATTTTTTACTTCTTTTTTTTTTTTTTTTGAATAAAAAATTAATTWAAAATATAAAATTAGGTATGTGGTGACGCAATTTCTAAACAATTTTTAAACCAAATTGCTAAAATTCCGATAAAGTCTTACGAACGATAATACTGTTAAAAGACTGAAATTTTACATGAACTTAAATCGTGAATGTTCCACTAAAAGATTTTTTTTTTGTGTACTTATAATCTAAGTGTTTAGAATTATATCCAATTTGTAGGAATTGGAGTTTTCATGTCACTTCAGTGAGCTAGCGATCAAGAATTCATGTCTTGTTGTGTCCACAAAAGAAGATCCAAACAAACCATAGGGGTCTTTATGTGTCATATGTATTAAAATATGGCGTAGCATACAAATTCCCCCCCCCCCTCCCTCTCCTAAATCTTATAGACAAAAGAACGTCTTTGAAAATATGAAGAGATTTTTAAACAAATCTTTTTTTTAAAATCTCATACTAAAAAGTTAATTTATATCAATATATTTAATAAAACGTGCAAATTGAAGTCACTGCTCTGAAAATGTTGATCATAACTTTAATTATATAATTTTGATATTAAAAAAGCTAATTTAAGATATTTATTTGAAATATTTGCTTTGTTATGTTTGCTGAACAATGCACTGATATTTTAAAACAACATCAAGATTTTGATTCCCCACTGTTAAAGATATTTGTGAATTATAAACAGTGACAAGAAACATTGGCATATCTTTTGCGTCAAATGGCATACGTAACCAAACCGACCAGAAACGACCACTTTATTCTGGATCATCGTKTGAACTTATTTATTTGGTCCCAATTCACGTATCAAAGGCAAGAGAACGATGTGGTGTCGCCTCCAGCAAAATTACAAGCGTGAATAAGTACGAGTGCGTGTGAGCCTGTTCTGGAGTTTGTTGTGGGTGTTCATCTTTAGTACGTTGAGGTTCAAAGCGTAGATAAAGGTTTAGTAGATGTGAAAACAATTACGTCAACAATCAAAAAATGTTGACCTTGGACAAGATCACAGTTAATTAACTATGAAAAGATTGACCAGCGTAGATTTGATCACGTGATACTCCAGCCAGTAGCCAGACTCACGTCTTTGGTATGGTAAACACGTGCGTGATGTTCACACGGGTTATACCCAAGTATCTTTATTCTAAAACCATGCCGGGGTCAGGCTCCGCATAGATACTCGTTATACCAAAGAATTCAATGTGGTCAATTAAATAGCTTTAATGTTATTCTTTCGTAATCGAGAACGATTAATGCAGTTCTGCCTCAACCTATGTTAATTGCCATAGCAACAACTTGGTTAAGACGTTTCTGGTAGAGTTCGTACTAATGTGAACACTATGACCAGCGGTAATATGACTTAAATGAAAATGGTCCGAGAATGAAAACTCACTAACCAATCAAATAATGAAACCAGTGTCCGTATGAACGTATGCTTCCTAGTTGAAAACCATCTCTCACTTGCTTGGTCAGGATATTGATTGCTACGAGAAAATAGAGACCTATTCTGGATTCCAGGAATTCGGATATTCACTTAACACAATTTAATTATTGCCCGGAACAAGACTAGTGGGCGAAACTAGAAAGAAAGTGAGGAAAGACACAACTTTTCTATTTCCAAGTCAGGAGGAGAAAAGTAAACTCGCACTGAATAAAATTAGATAACTCCTCATTTGAAAGTAACACCAAGGCGAAAATAAATTAGTCTTATCAAGAAAAGGAAAAAATAAAAATAATGCATTGGATCTTAACAATCCGCCTCCAGCAATAGAGTCCAACTAAAGAAAAAATCGGTTCAATCTGCACGTTTGGCTTGTTCTTCAACGACTTCTCCAGGAAAAAGTAGCGTTGTCCTAGTAACATAGTTGGTCAGAAAGTCGGTTGCTATGCAATTTCACATCAGGTATTAGACTTCAATACTTTGATATAATATTAACATAAATCTTTTTCGCTAACAATAGTAATAATCGATGATAAAATTATCATTTTAGAATAAGCTTTTTTTTTAGTATTTTGAATCCAAAGTTCGTTTTGTAGAAGAGTGGAACTTCAGCAGATCCAAAGCCGTGTAAAATGGAATCTTAAAACTCAAAAATGAATCAGTTGATAGACTTGAATATATAATAATTTGGGGAATCGAGAAAATAATTTATTGAATTGCTTTAAAATGAACTAAAAATCATTCTATTTTTCGTGCATACACAGTAAGATAAGCGGAGGTCGTTATCAGAGTTTTAGAGAAATTTCTAGAGGTAGTTATTATGACTTACAAATACTTACTCAGTTTTAATTTTTTCATGCCAATAACGAGAAGATTTCCGGATTTGCGAGCGAAGTATTAGACGCCTTCAAGACTAAAAGTTGAAATCAGATAATAATACAATCAATATAGCCATCACGAGAGAATTCTGCATGACACTGGTGCTGTTTCTGTTAATATTTGTAAAGCGGAGATTCATGTTCAAGAGAACAAATAATGAGCAAGGGCTACGGTGATGAATACTCGTTCACATCGTCCTGGGATGAGAGTGACGTCAATCGAAAGGTAACAGGTTGCCAGCTGCATGTGTTCAATTTCATGTTCCATTCGCTTACACGTGCGCGTATATTTACAGTATCGCAAAGCGCACTATTAGAAGATGTCCATGAAGGAAATAAACTCGACAAAATGCCGTGTTTATTAAATTAAAAGGAAGGTTAAGTTGTTATATCTCAGGGAAACAGACACTTATGTCATTAAAAGTCAAAGATAAGTTCGTTGACAAGCACTCAAAGATGAATAGGATAAATGTGATAAATCAAAAAGCATGATGGATGTCTTCACAAATGCTAAGAATGAAAACAATCTACAAGCTAGATAACTATACCCTACTCTCTCTGCCCAAGAGCTGCTCGTAGACAGAACGATTATTGGTGCACGACTTCTTAATTTTCTTATAGACTTGAGAGTGAAAAACATCCGAACATCACATTATTAACTTTCCTTATAGAAGGCGATGAATCACGATGATAATTTTTTTGACTGACATTAGAAATCAGATAGAAACTTGAAAGATTTCTTGATATAATTGGCTTGTAAAAGATCTGACGAATTAACACAACTCACCGAGCGATGTTTATCGGCAATGGTTTGAGTTTCATGGTATTCAATTACGATGATAAAATTCTTTAGCGGATAAAAATAAACAGCTCAAAATTAGGGATGCTAAATCTGTCAACAAAACACATTCCATTCACTGAAATTCTAAGTAACGAAGAAGCCCTTTTCGTGAGGGAGAAAACGCTTATTTTTTCAGTTTTATTTATGTATTTAGTAAAGTGACATTTAAATGGCTTATTTTTTTAACCAATCAGAAACGACACTATCCCAGTACGCTTGAATACCGGTGTGCAAACGAATGCGCACGCAGCTTTTTTTTGAATTTTATGAGGAATTCCTCTAAAAATATTTCCACTGATTATCAGATTATTCTTACTCGAGAAAATGCCGCCATGCTGGCATGTAGGATGAGAATAAAAAAACATTGTAAATTTATCCAATATGGCCGATAAAACGTTACACGCGCGCAAAGAACACTGCTGCTGGTTAGTAAAACGTAACTTTAATAAGTTTATTTATAGCTGACGAAAATATTTTGATATAGCTATGATTGATGATAGACCTATATTTTAGTGGCGACTTCTCTCTTTCTCTTTCTACACTAGATTCTCCCTGCTAAGGATTCAACTAAAAAGGCAAATCTCTGTACATATTATATCTTGTAACCGACTGTCAAAAGTCATCGGAGAAATACTCAATTGCCTTCGAACAAATGACTGAAAAACGTGCGTCTGGATACTAAACTTGCTACGTGGCTGAGGTTGTCTGTCTGTCTGTCTGTCTGTCTGTCTGTCCGCCCTTACTTATCCAAACAATATTTTTCTTCCCTGATCAAGCACATGACTGCTTTTCCCCCCAACAATTTTGAATTCGATTTGTTTTCCGATCAAAAGGATATAAATTTGTATTCTTCCTGACGTCTTCCTTCCGTAACTTGTACGTTTCCTTTGCGTTCCTCCTTCTTCTCTTTCACTTCCTGTAAATTAATCTCAGTTTTTATATCTTATTCGTTTCTATTGCATTTTCACAGCTCCCAGTTTGGAGGGGCCTCGACCAGCAGCTTTCTTCTCTTTCAGTGCTTGTAACCGTTGTTGTTTTCTTTCTTCTCTCTTCTTCTTAGCTAATTCAGCTTTACTCATTCCACTTGAATCACCGGACATGTTGGAGGAATCCCAGCCATCATTCCATTCATCCCATCCTGGTCCTCCACTAGTTGTTTTCACAGGTTCATCAGTAGTACACCAACCCTCAGCCACCCGGGAGTCACCCACGGTACCTTTTCCTTTGGTGCTCTTAGAGGGTTTACTAGAAGGTACCTCGTCGAAAGAGCCCCAGTCATCAAGTCCCCAGTCTCCTTCAGAGGACCCTGTAGTTTGTTCATTAGAACGCGAGGTTTGTCCTGATTTCTTGAAGTTCGTATTAGACTGCAAAAAATATTTTTAAAATATTATGCACGGGATTCCTGTGGTCAGGTGGAGAGACTTGGGACAAGGAAGATTTTCAATTCGTCCCCAGTGCATTCTCGGTATCTCGGTATCCAACACTGCGACGTTTGTCGTTCATTAGAAGTAAGAAAGAAAAACTAACATCTTACCAATGCCGAGAAGGGATCGTTATCAAAAGCGTTATCGTCACTTTTTGATGCCTCAGTGAAGAAATGACTGGCGCTTTTACCGCCATCTCGTGTGAAGGCTGGTGACTCTTCTTCTGTGGATTGAGGAGCCTTAGTTTGCTGAGAATAGAGACGAAAACATAAAATAAAAAAGATTGCCTTTTTCCGCTAGTGATTTAGGAGTAGAAGATATAACTAGCTAAAAACTAGCGTCCGAAACATCAGTAAGTTTTTTCATCTTTTCACGGTGTATAATTTACCTTTTCATCATTACTGTTTGATTTAGGAGTAGCTTTATTAAACGGGAAGTAAGAACTTACATTTATGCTCGACCAGTCATCGTTGTTCCAGTCATCATAGTCACTTCCGCTATCCTCAGCCTCCTGCTCGTCCTCGTACCCAGGTTCCTTATTGAATTTTATAATACTGAATCAGCAAATACTTGCGTAACACATATTATTTATTTATTTATTCATAATGACTTTAAAAACAAAGAAAGACTTTATAAAGACTTTTTTAAGACTTGTATTTTATGACGCCTTGGTCATTACCTTGTGCGAGGTACTCTCTTGTAAAGATTGACACTCTTGCTTCACCGCCATCAAATCGTTCCTCAACTCATTAATGATTCCACCTGGCTCCTAATAAAATAAATATATATTAATGACTATGGACTGACAGATAGACGCACAGACAGGCATGT